AGAGGGTGCTGTCAGGGACACTCACAGGGTTCTGAAGAGCAACCCAGAACTGCTCATGTCAGGTAACGTTGTTTCTGGTGTTTCTGGCATCACAAGCCACCCTTCTTTCTTCTATCTCCCTCTAATGCTCAGACTCCCCAGAGGGCTTCCTTGACTCCTGGCCCCCGGTCATCCCAGACCTCTGCAATCTCAGGAAACAGCACTGGAAATTTCTGGGTTACCACCCATGTGCTTCTAATACTCAGATGCATGGTCTTTCCAAACCTTCCTCCTGAGTTTCAAACAAATACCCAACTTCCAGCTGCTGGCATGGCCACCCAGGTAAGACTTGGAAGAACCTGAAGTCAGTTGTACTGTTAAATGTCCTCAGACTCACCTAGTCACAACACCTCTGCTAAGTCTCAGCTGAGGTGGGGGGGGGGGGGGCTTCCTGCTTTATCCCACATCCAGATCATGGCACTTCGGCCCCAAATTCCCTCCACACCTCCCCTGGCTTTATCTAGGGCTTCTCCACTGCTCTTGGGATGGGCCCACTATCGTCTGCCACTGATCGGAGAAGTCCATCCACATACCACACCCCCAGAATGAAGCAAGGGCCCTGGCCCTTGTCTTGATGTGGTTCTCCCATAACTGATTCTAAAATGGGGGCTGACTCTAAAATGTCAGTCCCAGTAGGTATCTATAGCAATAAGCATCAAGCAGGGGCCACCATTAGCTGCCAACAGTGACTGGTCATACCTGCATGTACTTCCAGGGTCCAGCTGGTATATTGATGAGATAACTGTTGATAATTGTCAGCATGCCCTCTGAGAAGCCCCAAGAAAGCCCTGGCTCCCCAGAGGACATACACTTCCTCTGTAACTCTGTCTCTACCTACCTTTCCCTGCTGGCTGTCTTCCTACAAGTCCCTGCCTCTCACCTGGCTGCCATAACCCACTGTCCTTCTCCCTAGGATGATCTCCCCTACCAGCCTCAACTTACCTAACGAGTGCCTAGTATGCAGAAATCCCTCCCAGAGCTCCATATCCCCTCCTCAGCCTTGGGCTCCATTCTACCACTGTACTCTCACCTGTCTTTCAAAGTGCTCTTTTTTTAATTAAAAAAAAAATGTTATTGTCAAGGTGATGTAAGAAGGGTTACAGTTACATAAGTAAAGTAGTGAGTACATTTCTTGCTACCCCCTCCCTCATTTTTCTCCCATTGCCCCCACTCCCCCCCCCCCCAGTTATACAGATCATTTCCAACCTATTGTCTTGTATCGGTGTTGCATTGGTTCCCCTTTGTTCCTTTGTCTCACTATTTTGTTGTTCCCCTTCTCTTCCCTAATTCAGATTCAGATACAATACACAGGGCACCAAAATGAAATACAATGGCAAAAGGGTATAAACCATAGGGGGGAAAATACAAAAGAAACAAGAACTCACATAGTTCATTAACAACAACAAAGAACAAAAAACAAAAAACAACAAGTTTCCTCTCGACAGGTCTGAGTCCTGTCCTTTTCATTTGTCTCTCATTTCGTGGGCTATGTCTTGCTGATCTTTGCATGTACAATATTACCCACAGTAAGTAAATATTACATGATGAATGGATGGATGGATGGATGAATGAATAAATGAGAGGCTCAGATACATTCTTCTACACACTATGTGAGTCCTTCATGTACAAACTAAATCCTGACTTTGACAGGGACATCAGTTTGTGCCCCCAAGGTCAATACTTCAAATGGATTGTCCTTCTAGTGATTAGAACCTATTGAATTCTGGCTAGACCCAAGGCTACCCCAGGAGACATTACATTTCCATTACACATTACATTAGATGTGCCCACTTGATTATGTTCCGGACAAAGGCACATAAAGGACATGACATACAAAACTTTAATGTCACAACCTTACAATAAAGCTTCTTGTGCTCCATACTCTGAGATGCAGAGTGTAGGTCATCTTCCACCACACAAGTAAGACACTCGACCTATATAATGAGACAAGAGGCTGGAGCAGAGTTGCCTAGCCCTTGCCCACCCACCAACTAACTGGATGTTGACCAAAGGGAAATAAAACTTTACACCATCCTTGAGCTATTGTTGTCTGTGTTAAAGCAGCCAAGGGAATTGTTTGGTTCTTTTCCATATTGTCTCTCAAAGATCAATTTAATCATGAGATTGTATTTCCCTAGTGTTGATTCTCATACATTACTTTTCTATGTTTTGTCCCTAAACCATGGCTTCACTGAGAAGCTGTTATATTTAATAGGGTAAGAACTGGCTATTATCAACGTAAGAATCAACAAAAATAAAGCAGGTAAAATGATTTACTTCAGTTTTCATGTTGTTAAATGTTAAATGTCCTGAATCCAAATGTGCTTTGATGAATATCCACTAGGTTTAAGGTACTATGGAAACACAGAAAGCTGCATGTGCCTTCAGAGAACTTGGGATAAAATTCAGAGTGTGGATGGGCATGCACACGTGTGTGTGTGTGTGTGTGTGTGTGTGTGCATGCGTGCATGTGTGTGCGTGTGCGCACGCGCACATAAGGGAAGTAAAAGAGACTCATTCTGGGTATTAGTGGGTTATGTCTGTAATCTTAGCTACTCAAGAGACTGGGATCTTTAGATCATGATTCAAAGCCAACATGGGGAGGAAAAGTACTCAAGACTCTTATTCCCAATTTACCACCAAAAAGCTAGAAGTGGAGCTATGGCTTAAGTGGTACAACACCAATCTTGAGCAGAAACAAGGCTAAAGGAAATATCACTGGTCCTGAGTACCAGCACAAGTAAATAAAACAACAACAACAAAACCAGATGAAATACAGCAAACCTTACAATGTCTAACCTCAAAAATCACTAATGCTGCTTATTTCCATTGATATTTCTGACCCTTTATTTTCCTACCCCACCAGCAAAAAGAAACCAAACTGTCAACTACACACATCTCTTGTCAGAAAGTTATCTCCTAGCCGGGTATCAGTGGTTCACGCCTGTAATCCTAGCTACTTGGGAGGCTGGGATCTGAGGACGGCAGTTCAAAGCCAGCCTGAGCAAAAAAGGCCCATGAGACCCTTATCTCTAATTAACTACTAAAAAAAAATGCTAACATGGAGCTATGGCTCAAAATGAGCTCTAGCCTTGAGCACAAAAGCTCAGGGAAAGTGCCCAGGCCCTTAGTTCAAGAACCAAGACACACACACACACACACACACACACACACACACACACACACATCTCCCAAAAGAAATGAGAAACAGACTTCATTACACACACACACACACACACACACACACACACACACACACACACACACACACACACACACACACACACACAGAGAAATCTCCCAAAAGAAATGAGAAACAGACTTCATTAAAAATGAGTAGTCTGTCTTGAAGCTATAGAATTTAGTGCAGAGTTCAGGAAGAAAGCTTATTAAATTAGCTAAACAAAGAACCAACAGTACTTATGATCTCCAGTTACCCAAAATCAACTGTAATTTGAAAGTATTTAATGGACTATTTCATAAATAATTAATATAAAATGTGCACTATTCTGAATAGTATGATGAAATCCTGTGCTGTCTCGCTCTGTCCTGCCCAGGACATTAGTGACCACCCTATCCAGCACATGCTTTCTGTATATGCTACTCACCCATGAAGTTACATCATATAACCTGCATCAATATCCAACATCCTTAATGGATCAAGTGTTGTCCTTCAGGACTTGTGTTTAAGTAACTCTGACTTTACTAATAATGGCCCCCAAATACCAAAGTAGGAGGTAGGACAGCTAATTTTACTATAAAACACGACTATAATTAGTCATTGTTATGAATCTTTTAATCATAATTTATAACTTAAACATTATCATATATGTATGCATAGGAAAAACATAGTTATAAAATTCAGGCATTTACTGAGACAGTCCTAATACATATCCCCTGAAAATAGAAAGAATGCTTAACAACAACATAGACCCTGCCTGGGCAGGGTACTCACACCTAACTCCCAACTCAGAAGCCAAGAAGGCAAGAGGATCTTGAGTTCAAGACTTGCCTAGGCTATATAATGAGACCTTGCCTCAAATAAAGAAAAAAGAGAGAGAGGAAAGAGGGGAGGGAAGGGGCAGAAAGAAGGGAAAGAAAGAGTATGGGTGGAGGAGAGAGGAGAAAAGAAGAGTGGAAAAAAGAAGAAGGGAGGAGTGGCAGAGGGGAAAAGGGAGGAGGGGAGAGAAGAGGAAGAGAGACAAGGAAGTAGATCTTCCTTCACTTCAAGCCTACAGCATTATTCAGACCAACTTCAGATGTAGCTCATACCCTATTTTAAGTGTCATTAAAATGCACCTGTATGAATAGATTTTTCTCTATACCATCCTTCTGGGATATTAAATTATAAATCAAATCCTAAATTAAATTAATGACATCTAATTAAAAAACAGATTAAGAAACTCAGAGAGGAATCATTGCACAGTGAGATTAATGAAAATGATATTTCAACATAAAAATTGCCTTAGAACTTGTTACCAAATTTTTGAACATTAATTACCTCTGTTTAAACTTTTCCCTTAAAAAGCTATTTCTTCCACTTTTTACTTTCATATTTTTGAGACATACTCTCTTATAAAGCCTAGGATGGTCTTGAACTTCAAATCCTCTTAGTCTCCCAAGTGCTATGATTACAAGCCTGCACCACCATATCTGGCTCTTCTACTTCTTTTTTATCAGATTTTATAATAAAGCCACCACAATTCTACACAAGTACATAATCATCTTAAATTAAAAACTCAAACACACATATACATATAATAATTTAGAAAATGAAGCTTTGAGCACCAGGAATTAACCAGAGCAATGTCAACCATATATAGTCAACATTAAACAAGCAAAATGAATCAGAAGAGTTATACTCAGCTAAATAAAACTGATTTTATACAAACTTGGTCTAGGAAACAGAAATGTATCACAGACTTCATAATCAGCAGACACCTCAAGCCATTTCTACATACCTGTGTGAGATTGGCAGCCTGCTTTAAGATGCTTTTTCTCAATTTCTCTGCTCTCTTCGCATGATAAGAATTACTTTGACTCTGGATGACAAACACAATTTCTTTTAAATCTAAAAAAAAAAAAGTTCTCAGTTTTTAATGATGATTGAAATAAAGTTGAAAATAATGGAGGAAACAACAGTTAAAAGGAAAGTCTGCAGCCAATCAACTCTCCAGGAGACATCTACTTATCCATAATTCTGGAGACACTGTCATCTATTTTTCTTCCTTTATTTCTGGAACTTGTTCTGAGAAGTCAGGCAGGAAGTGAGCATGCCATGCTAGAGTGTGCCCAAAGTGTTACACTGTGACTGAGTTCCTGCAGCTATAAAAAGCTATGTGCCAAAGCAGGGAAAGATCTAGAACACTGAACTCCCAAAGTGGCGGGAAATCCCCAGCTCGTCCACCATCTTCTAATAATTCTGACAAATAATCCTATGCTGTGCTGTTAATGGGATAAATTGTGTTCCCCCACCCCCCCAAAATCAAATGTATGTATGTATTAAAGCTCTAGAGAGCTGTTGGTACTTATGTATACGATCTTACTTGATCTTACTTTGAAATGGCACCATTACATAGGTCTAATTTTGTACGTTAAAATGAGATTATGACCTTGGGTTCTAATCCAGGATGACCAGTGTGCATATAAAAAGGAAGAACTGGATAGAGAGACATGCAGAGGGAAGATGATGTAAAAACACAGGGGGAAGGTCTGATTCTCCCTCTGAACTCTCAGTGAGCCCTGAAAATACTTTGATCTTGAACTTACAGCTTTTCCAGAACTATTAGACATCACGTCTCAGTCATTTGGCTATGATCAGTTCAAGTAAAGAAACATGAGAAAATATATTGTTGTTGATCAAGCCACAGTCTGTGGAACTCTTGTTATGCAAACTAATGTTGGTTAACTTTCTTTTATGGTGACAAAATATCTGAAATAATCAACTTATAAGGAGAAAAGGTCTATGTTGGCTCACAGTTTGGGAGGTTTGGGCCCATGATCACTTGGTCCTGCTACTTTGGGCCTGGTAAGGCAATGTATCATGATGGCTCAGAAACAGAGGGGCGGGGGAGAGAGGGGAAAGGGCTAGGGGTCCCAATATTCCCTTCTAGGGCATGTCCCCAGTGACCTAACTTCCTACTCCTAAGCCCCATCTTTTAAAGGTTCCACCACCTCCCAAAAGTGCCACAAGATTAAGCATTTAACACATGGGCCTTTGGAGATTTCAGATCCAAACTAAAACAGCTCTAGCAGACAAATTTTCAAAACTCTTCTGGATGGCCATGGGGGAGGTGGTGATGGGATTTGAACTCAGAGTCTCTCACTCTTGCTTAGATTTCTCTCAAGGCTAGTGCTCTACCACCCGAGCCACTGCTCCACTGCTGGCTTTTTGCTGGTCAATGGTAGATAGAGTCTCAGACTTTTCTGCCCACGCTAGCTTTAAACTGTGATCCTCAGATTTCAGCCTCCTCCATTAGCTAGGTCTACAGGTGTAAACCACTAGTATCTGGCTGGATGGCTCTTTATAGTAACATGGGGACTGCACTTGTCCTAAGAATTTACAAGAATGTGAACATAAATAACTCAATCATCCCGATACTATTCCATGAGGTACCTAGTCAGGATTAAGTATTATCTCTAGGTAACTGGCAGCAACAATTCCTCAGCAGTAAGACCCTGGCCAGAAGTGCACAAAAACCATCAATAACAAATGCTAGCAGTATCTGCCAGCCAACAAACACACTTTAAGACAGCCAGCTTTTTACACTGGCCAGCAGAAAAGAAACCCTAGTATGTCTTCCTCTGTCTGCTGGAAAAACAAAACAAAATAAAACAAAACAAAAAACAGAGATCTTGCCATCAGAGGCAACTTGGTTTTGTCTTTGTATTATATCTATGGGACTCATCAACAGTATCTGGATCCATTTGCATTGTACTAGTTAATTTTTCAGGTGACACAGTGGAGAAGTACACTAGGCCCTCCTGAACTCTGAATTGGTAATAAAGAAACAGAAAGAGCTAAGGCCACAGTACCCATCCACCAGAAACAGTGTAAGCAGGGCAGAAAGTATGTGTCACATGGAGTGTGGACTCCAGTCAGGTTTACTATGGACACATGCGGGGATCGTCCCCGTCCCTCCCCCCCCCCCCCCTTCCACCCAAACCTTTCTTCTAATACTTCAGCTCAGGGACACTCACTTGATCTTAATTGTATTTCACTACACTTAGTTGTTTTTATGCTTGGTTCTATAATTCTACTCATTTACTGATTCACTCAAATATGCATACAACAGATAGCACCACAGTGAGCCATCTAGATCCTAAAAATAACCTGAAATACACTTTGGTTAAAACGCAATAAAAAATTTAAAAGGAAACGCTGAGCAGTCTACTGAATATGACCTAATTCCTCTCCTTTAGGACTCTATGTAAATGAGAACACTCTATATATCCACCTGTATTTTAAATTGGCTTCTTGGCCACGAATAAGGCTTAAAAGGGTGTCTTATGGTTCAGCTGAAATGCTATCTTTCATTTAACATCTAAAACATTAATATAAACAGACATATCAAAAGAGGAATTATAAAGACTTCTTTCTGTGAAGAATGGAGTAAATATCCTTCACGGGGGCAGTTTTTTGAAATTTCACAAAGTTGAAGATGCACCTTCCCAGTGACCTATAAATGTTATTCCTGTTAATTAATCAGACACATGAATCAGAATACTATACAGCAATGACAATTGATTAACATGTGCCAATTAACTAGTACATGTAAAAATTAACTAGTACTACATGAATAGATCCAGATAGTCGATAAATCCCATAGACTAAAAGCTAAGACAGAACTTAGTGGCTAAAAATAACCATATAAATCAATCGTAGAAGGCAAAAGAATTAAGGGAAAAGTTAGAAAAGGATGCCTAGAAGAGAAACTATTCCTCCCTAAATGTTAAAAAAAAAAAAAGCCAGGCACACCAACTCATGTCTGCAATCCTAGTTCCTCAGGAGGCTGAGATCTAAGAATCAAAGGCATCCCAAGTGGGGAAGTCCATGGGACTCTTAGTGCTAATTACCCAGTAAAAAGCCAAAAGTAGAGACACAGTTCAAGTGGCAGAGTACCAGCCTTGAGTGAAAAAGCTAAGGGACAATGCCCAGGCCTGGAATTCAAGCCGTTGGTACCAGCACAAAGAAAAAAGGGGGGAAAAAAACAAAAACAAAACAAAACACAAAAAACACAAAACTTCCCTGTCTCCTTGGTAGCTAAGAATGAGAACACACCATCCAATAATGCTAATCCTGATCATAAGTAAGCTAGAAGGGATTCCATTGTGTTTGTGTGCTGCTAAGAAATCAACACAAGTCCTTCTGATAAAGGGTGAAGAAGAAGCAGCCCTCTGATCTAGAGCTAAAGCATAGAGATGCACAGACACACACAAGAAAAGCGCTCCCATTCTGTCTAACTTGCCCAGAATAATTATACACTGAGTCCATCAATTAGGCAATGAGCTCAAGAAGAAAAACGGAAAAGAAGACTGTCCATGGAGGCTGTGACAAGATCCTGAGCCCTGTGAGCTCACAGCTGCCGTACCAATTCCTCTGGTGACACGGTGACTATGACTATGTCACAGCTCTTCAGTAGCTTCCCGGTACTGTAGGACCATATGAAGATCTGGGACAAAGAAATCACCTGGGTTCTTTTCCAGATGAACTGATACTAAATTAGGTACCACCAAGATTTGTATGTGTAATTATAAGAATATAAATGTCTTTCTCCAACGGTACTTACTCTAGATAAATTCAAGTTCACATTCCAGACTCTGGTCATTAATTCAGTTAATACCATGTGTTACAAGGAAACCCATCAGTGCCCATAAAAATTAACACACAGTGTCCCCTTTGGCAGCACATATACTAAAACTGGAATGATATAGAGAGATTAGCATGGCATCTGCACAAGGATGACACCCAAATTCATGAAGTGTTCCACATTTTTAAGAGCCTGGAATGATGTATGCCATGCCCTAAAGACAAACAACTATCAACCAAGAATACTGTACCCAGCTAAACTCTCCATAACTGAAGGTCAAATAAAAACTTTCCATAGCAAAAAAAAACTGAAACAATATATCTCCACCAAACCAACCCTACAAAAGACACTTAAAGATGTCCTACACATAGAAAACCAATAAGACCACAATAAAGGCCAAGAAACTGCACCCAAACTGAAAACCCAAAAACCATAAGAACCCAGTTGTCCCAGCCCTCAAGAAGATGGATAACAAGGCAGGAACTACCAAACACCTCTCAGTCCTAACTCCCAATATCAATGGAATTAATTCTCCAATTAAGGGACACAGACTGTCTACTTAAAAAGCAAGATCCTTCTACCTCCTGCCTTCAAGAGTCACACACCTTGCCCATAAAAACAAACGTATTTTGAAAAGGCTATAATAAAATCTACCAAGCAGGAGCTGGGAAGGTGGCTCAGTGGTAGAGAGCTTGCCTTGCATGCCTGAGGCCCTGGGTTCGATTCCTCAGCACCACATAAGCAAAAAGAAAAAAGCCAGAAGTGGCACTATGGCTCAAGTGGTAGAGTGCTAGCTTGAGCTGAAGAGCTGAGGGACAGCGCCCAGGCCCAGAGTTCAGGACCCACAACCAGACCCAAAAAAAAAAAAAAATCTACCAAGCAAATGGCTTCCATAACCTGGTGGGAGTTGCAATCCTAATATCATAGACTTCAAGTTAAACTTAGTGATAAGAGATAAAGAAGGTCGATACATACTAATTAAAGAATCTTTCCTTAGGAGGATATTACAATTCTAAATATCTATTCCCCAAACAACTGAGTACCCAAATTTATCCAAGAAACACTACTTTCCCTCAAATCTCACATAGATCCAAAGACATTAATTGTTGGGGACTTTAACACACCACTATACCCACTAGATAGATCAACTCAGCAAAAACTCAACAGAGAAACCACAGATCTAAACAAATGCATAGATCAACTAGATTTAACAAACATCTACTGAATATTTCACCCAGCAGCATCGGAACACACGTTTTTCTCAGCAGCACACGGAACATTTTCCAAAAGAGACCACATTTTAGGTCACAAAGCAAACTTGTCCAAATTCAGAAACATTGAAGTTATGCCCTGCGTTCTCTCAGACCACAAGGGAATAAAATTAGAAATCAAAAGCCAACAAAGAAAGTCCTGTAACACATGGAGGCCAAACAACACACTGTTGAATCACCAGGGGTCATGGAACAGATCAGAAAGGAAATTCAAATGTTCATGATACTCAACAAAAATGAACACACAAATTACCAGCTCCTCTGGAACACAGTAAAGGCAGTACTCAGAAGCAAGTTTATAGCTCTGAGTTCCTCAACAAATTGAAGAGATCTGAAACCAACAATTTAATGAGACATCTGAACCCCCTTGAAAAAGAGCAGCAAGATGAACCCCAATCCAGTAGATGGAAACAAATAATTAAAATTAAATCAAAATTAAACAAATTAGAATCCAAAAAACCATAAGAATCAACAAAACAACAAGCTGGTTTTTCGGAAAAAAAAATTAACAAAATTGACAGACCCTTAGCAAATTTTATCAAATAAACAAACTCAGATGAGAATGGAAGCATCACCACAGAAACAACCAAGATTCAGAACATTATAAGGGAATATTTCTCAAACCTGTATGCTAGTAAGTTTGAGAATCTGGAAGAAATGGACAATTTCCTAACAAGTATCCACATGCCGAAACTAAACCAAGATGAGTTAAACCATCTTAACAGGCCCATATCAAGCATTGAAATAGAAACAGCAATAAGACACCTCCAAGCTAAGAAAAGCCCAGGACCAGATGGATTTACAGAGGAATTCTACAAGGCCTTCAAAGCAGAACTCACACCAATACTCCTCCAACTCTTCAATGAAATTGGAAGAGAAAGTTCACTACCGTACCCTTTCTATGAAGCCATCATAACCCTCATCCCAAAACCAGGCAGGGACTCATCAAAGAAAGAGAGCTATAGACCCATTTCTTTCATGAACACTGATGTAAAACTTTTCAACAAAATTTGGGTAATCTACTTCAACAATTCATCCAAAAAATCATACACCACAATCAAACAGGATTCATTTCAGGGATGCAAACTGGTTCAATATACGCAAATCAATTAATATAATTCATCACATCAACAAGAGCAAGGATAAGAACCACATAGTTATCTCAATAGAAGCAGAAAAAAAGCATTTGACAAGATCCAACACCCCTTTATGATGAGGCTCTGGAAAAAATAGGAATCCATGGAACATTCCTCAATACAATAAAGGCTGTATATGACAAACCTACAGCCAGCATTATACTTAATGGTGAAAAATTAAAGCCATTTCCTCTAAACTCAGGAACAAGACAAGGATGTCAACTCTCTCCATGTCTCTTCAATTTAGTATTAGAATGCCTAGCTACAGCAATAAGATGCAAACATAAAAGGAATCCAAATAGGAAAAGATGAAGTAAAACTCTCCTTCTTTGTAGATGACATGATCTTGTATTTAAAGAATCCCACGGACTCCACTCCCAAATTACTGGAGCTGATTCAAAATTTTGGCAAAGTAGCAGGGTATAAAATTAACCATCAACTATTAATGGCTTTTCTGTATGCCAATAACGAGAAGAGTGCGGCTGAAATCAGGAAAGCAACTCCTTTTGTAATAGCCCCACAAAAAATAAAATACCTAGGAATTAACTTAACCAAAGAAGTGAAGGACCTCTATGATGGAAACTTTAAAAACCTGAAAAAGGAAACTAAAGCAGAACTTAGAAAGTGGATAAACCTCCCATGCTCCTGGATTGGAAGGATCAACATCATGAAAATGGCAATACTTCCCAAGGCTATCTACAAATTCAATGCGATACCTATCAATATTCCAACCTCATTCTTCAAGGAAATAGAAGAGGCAATATAAAAATTCATATGGAACAATAAAAGACCCCAATAGCAAAAATGAACCTTAGCAGAAAGAACAGCGCTGGAGGAATATCAATACCAAATTTCAAACTCTACTACAGAGCCATAGTAATCAAAACAGCTTGGTACTAGCACAAGAACAAACCTGAAGATCAACAGAATAGAACTGAAGACCCAGAAATGAACCCACAGACCTATAGCCACCTAATCTTTGACAAGGAGGCTAAAAAAATAGAATGAAGAAAGACAGCCTCTTCAGTAAATGGTGCTGGCAAAATTGGTTAAACACCTGTAGAAAACTAAAGCTAGATCCTTATAAATATATCACCCTGCACCAGAATCAACTCCAAATGGATCAAAGACCTTGAAGTCAAAACAGACACCCTGAAAACATTACAGGAAGGAGTAGGAGAAACCCTAGGGCTCCTTGGCACAGGCTGAAATTTTCTTAATAGAGACCCAGAAACACAACAAATCAAAGAAAGGTTGGACAAATGGGATTGCCTTAAACTGCAGAGCTTCTGCATGGCAAAGGACATATCTAGCAAGATCAATAGAAAGCCCACGGATTGGGAGAAGATCTTCACTAGCCATACAACAGACAAGGGTCTCATATCTAAAATATACTTAGAACTCAAAAAATTAAATCCCCCAACAACAAATCCTCAAAGAAACAACTGCGTGATTAATACATGGGCTAAAGACTTAAAGAAAGACTCTGAAGAGGAAATAAGAATGGCCAATAGACACATGAAAAAATGCTCAACCTCTAGCCATAAAAGAAATGCAAATCAAAACAACATTGATATACCACCTCACTCCCATTAGAATGGCTAGAATCAAGAAATCTAATAACAACAGATGCTGGAGGGGATGTGGACAGAAGGGAACCTTACTGCATTGTTGGTGGGAGTGTAAACTTGTTCAACCACTTTGGAAAGTAGTATAGAGGTTCCTCAAAAGACTCCACATAGAGCTCCCCTATGACCCATCAATCCTACTTTTGGGCATTTACCCAAATGATCACAAACAAGACCACACTAAAACTACCAGCACAACTATGTTTATTGCAGCATTATTTATCATAGCTAAGATATGGAACCAACCCAGATGCCCCTCAGTAGATGAACGGATCAAGAAAATGTGGTATGTGGGATGGGAAGGGGAAACAAAGGAGGAGGCTACAATGCTTGATAAGAAATCTACTCATTATCTTGACTATGTAATTGTAACCCATCTGTACAGTATTTTCACAATAAAAAAAGCCATGTATTTAATATAAAGATTTATCTTCCTAAACCCCCCAAAAAAAGAAAATGTGGTATCTGTATATACTATATATATATATATATATATATATATATATATATATATATACACATATCTCATATATATCATATATATATATATATATATATATATATATATATTCTATGCCTCCATCAGAAAGAATGACACTGCCCCATTTGTTAGGAAATGGAAGGACTTGGAAAAAATTATATTAAGTAAAGTAAACCAGGCCCAAAGAAACAGGTCCCATGGTTTCCCTTATTTGCAATATCTAGTATATGTCTAGGACAAGCAGAAAAGGTCAAAGGGTATGTACATATGACCATATAAGATGATGCCAAGCAAAATGAACTCCAAGAAAGGGACACAGAGTTTTTTATCTTTGTTGCTGTTGTTTCTAATGTACTCATAATGTACTATGTGATTTTTTTTTATGTTCTTCCCCCATGGTATAACCCCTGTTTTCACCATATTTGATTCCAGTGCCCTGCATCTTGTACATATTTTTCTAATTTGGGGAGAGGAAGGGAAACAACAAAATGCTGAAACAAGGACACAAGTTGACCCACAATGAGATGTGCAACACACTATGTTGAAAATGAACTTTACAACTTGGGGGTAGGGGGTGAGTAGGGAAAGGAGGAGTTAGGGAGGTGGGGAAGGAAGGGATAGTAGGGAGAAAATCAAGGAGGGGATAACAATGCTCAATAGGAAATGTACTTATTACCTTACTTATGCAACTGTCATCCCTCTGTCCAGTATCTTTACAATAAAAATATATATTAACGCAAACTAAGGGACAGAACCCAAGCCCTGAGTTCAAGCCACAGGATAAAAAAGCAGAGTCAGAGACATAACTCAAGTGGTAGAGCACCAGCTGGGCAAGTGTGAGGCTCTAAGTTCATCCCAGACTGAGCTATAACAACAACAACAACAATAATAATAATAATAATAAATCAATACTTACCTATGTCATTTTTCCTTTTAATTTCATTAGTACTTTTCTCCAAATCCTGTATTTGTAATGAAAGAGATAAAGATAAGTCTCATCACATAACAGAGGTAGCAATACAGCTAAGTATATATGCTATGTATTTACAGTTGGAGGGAAGACTGAATGATGGAAACTTGGAAATGCTTCTCTGAAGGAATGAGAACTAAATGGAAGGGGGAGACAGCAGTGATACACTTGTACACTGTAACAGAAACTCAAAGATGGGGCTGCATCTTTCTTATCTCATCTTGGACCAGTCACTTAACAGTGCTGAAGCTCTTCCTATGTAAAATAATGTTCTTGGATTCTGAAAACCCCACCATCCCCAAAACATTGCAAACATGGCAGTCTCAATGCTGGAAGGTTTTACTCATGAGGCACTCTTTTAGTTACTGTATGCAGTAGTAACTAGGTATGAATCATTTAGTCTTAGTAATTCAGTTGTCTTTTGAGCTCAGATATACTGTCACTCAGAATATTAGCACCATGATCTCTCCTTCCTGGGAAGCAGCCCTGGGGCCCTGCCAGGGATATGGAGCTCAGATGATAGTGGCTGCTGTGGTCTGAATGCACACCCTGAACAGCATGTGTTGAAAACTTTACCCACAATGCTACAGCACTGAAAGGTAAAACCTCAGATACAAGTGCTCAGCTGTAATGACTTGTACTCATGTTGTTATAGAGGGGATAGGTTCGTGATCAAAAGAGTTAATTTGTTATAAAATAAAGTTCAGCTAGGTACCATGGCACAGTGTGAAGGAGAGGGGGAAGGAGGGAGGAAGGAAGGGAAGAAGGGAGGGAAGGAGGGAGGGAGGGAGGGAGAAATTAAGAAGGAAAATGAAGAACTCTCAGTTCTTTGTAAGTCACTCTGTCTCAGTAATTCTACTATAGTAACATACTTGGTCACTAGAACTCATGAGCAAAGAGCTCTTGACAGCTGCCTAGCTCTAGTCACAGAAATCTGGATGAGGGTACAGAAATATCTGATTCTGGCACTGTATGATTCTGAGGTGAACTCTAAAAGATATTCCGGCAAAGTTCAAGATGTCTGCAACTAAACGTACCATGTTCATGATCTCCCTACACTACGATAGAGTTGTCTAATTTCCTTCTTCCATTTCAACAGCCACATGCTATAATTATGCCAATTGGATGGAGGCAAATATACTTCAATTTCCTTCACAGACTATAATAAGAAATGTAGTTGGAAGGCTTTACCAACAAAATTGGGAGCAGCTTGAAAGTCAAGATATAGCCACAAAAAGATGTATCCTCTAGAAATGACAAAGGGACAGGGACATGATAACTGACAGGAAGAAAGGAGCTAAACACACCTAAGGTGACTACCTTGGGTAGCATTTTATAAAATGACTTTGTCTCATTATTAGAATTATCGCTGAGCTATGCTTACACCAATATTCTAAGGATTGTGGTTTGATGAAGACAGCTTATGTAGAAAAGTCAGTAAGATTCTTATCTCCAAGAAACCACCAAAAGACAGAAGTTGAGATGTGACTCAAGTAGTAGAGCACTACTTGAGCAAAAACCCAAAGGAAACCCTGAGTTCAAGCCACAGCAGTAGCACAAGAAAGAAAAGAAAGAAAGAAAGAAAGAGGGAGAGAGGGAGGGAGGGAAGGAGGGAAGGAAGGAAGGAGGAAAGAAAGAAAGAGAGAGAGAGAGAGAGAGAGACATGCCACTCTGTAGTGGAGAACCATAGCCAGGTGTTGAGTTATTACAGCTAATGGTCAAATGACACTTCACTTAACCCAGCCAAAACAAGCAAGTTTTAGAGGAACTGACTAAAAATGACTAGATAGCTCAATCCACTTCTCTGAATGTACTGAGCCCAAACCAGGTTCTCACCATAAAGTGGCATGAGTGGGTGAAATCATCTATGCATCCCATGCTGCTCTTGTCCTGGTACCAGGGCACAGCTAGCTCCCACATTTACCTACTTCCTGCCCCTTAGTCAAACTGCTTTCTTCTTCTTCTCAGAAGGCTACAGATTCAGCTTCCAACCAAGGTTCAAAGAAAAATAGAATGTGTATCAAAAAACTACACTAGGGGCCACATGAAGTGGCTCATACCTGTAATCCTAGCTATTCAAGAGACCAAGAGACCAAGGACCTCAAGTCAAGGCCAGTGCAAACACAAGATACCACCTCAACCAATAAAAGCTGGGCACATGCCTGTCATAAATAGGAGAATCATGATCTAGTCTGGTTTGGGACATGAAAGTGAGACCCTATTCAAAAAATAACTAAGCAAAGAAAGAAGGAAGGACATGGTTCAAGTGACAGAGCACAAGGCTCTGAGGCCAAATCCTAGTACAGCCAAGGTTTTTTTTTTTTCAAAACAGGAAAAATTAAACTTCACTAAACCCAACACTTCCTTTCACAAAAAAATAATCTCCAAAAGTTAAAAGGATTTCCCAGGGCACTTCAGTCAGTAGCCGTAAAACCATGACAAATACTCTTTTGCAATGCTCCTTCCCAATAATACTGGCTAATGTCCACCTAGGTTTCCCAATGGCACTCCTCACAGGTGGACTTAAAATCTGCTGAAAGTAACATCTGATCCAATAAGAACACCTACCTCAACTAGCTAAAAGATGAAAAACTACCAGGAACTCACCACGATTCTGTGGAAATCAAAGCAAACCAACCAAGACCATGTTTCATTCGAGTTGTTAGGAAGCACAAAAGCTCACACTGGCTAACACAATAGCTAGGAAAAGAAAATGCTTAGCTATTTCAAATGACTCCATTTGTAAACTGTAAAAAATAAAATGTCCAAGGAGCAGATGAATTAGGTGAATTTATATGGAACCAAAACAGTCTTGAGTAATCTCATCTTTGAGAAAGAAAATGAGACTAAATGAAGAAATGGATAGAACATTTCAAACTGTGTCTTCACTTCCCTGGTGACTAGGCTTGGCTCTTTCTGAGAGAAACAACACATGTTCTGTTTTATTGTCTCTGCTGACAAGCTTCTTACACAGACTATCAATATTAATCAAAATGCTCATGGGTAAGGTTGTTTAAATCAAATGAATTACTGTGCAGGTAGGATAAAGATCTGTTGTGAATGCAGCTACCCCACAGAGAACTTTGCCCATAGGAAAAGACACAGCTAAGTCACACATCACATGGGTTTTGCTTGTTTTTGTGCTAGTACTGGGGTTTGAACTTAAGACCTCTCACTCTCACTTAAGCTTTTAAACTCAAGGCTGGTACTCTGACACTCAAGCCACACTTCCATTCTCAGTTTTTGGCTGTTATTTGGTGATGAGAGTGTCACAGACTTTCTGCTCAGGCAGGCTTCAAACCTTAATTTCTCTGGTCTCAGCCTCCTGAGAAGCTACAATTACAGGCATGAGTTACCAACATTCATTTTTTAAGCAAAGAGAAATTTGAATACTTGCAATATACATGTCTAATGCTTAGTGTGCAAGTTCGTCATTAAAGAAAAGAACAGAAACACCCTCAGAAAAATTTGATGTGAAATCTCAGACAAGAAGTAGAATTCCATCTTCTCTTCCTGTCACTACCACCCTTCTCAATTCAAAATACATTGATCTAGATGTGTTTTCATCTGTGCACTCAGTTGTGAACTAGTTCTGCATTCTTATTTCTGTCCCTGGTACTTATTAGCTCAGGTCTTGATTTCTCCTCTATAAAATAGAGATAACAGAGCCAGGTGCTGATAGCTCATGCCTATAACCTAGCTACTCAAGAGGTTGAGATCTGAGGATTGTGGTTCAAGGTGCCAGGGGAAGGAAAGTCCATGAGACTCCTAGCTCCAATAAACTACTCAAAGAAGCTGGCAGTGTTGCTGTGGCTCGAGTGGTAGAGCACTAGCCTTAAGCAAAAAGAAGCTCAGATGTCAGAGCTCAGGCCCTGAGTTCAAGCTCAGAATCAGCAAAAAAATATAAAGACAGACATACAGACAGACAGGCAGGCAGGCAGGCAGGCAGGCAGGCAGGCAGGCAGGCAGGCGGACAGACAGACACAGAAGAACAAAGCTGGCACAGGTGGCTCATACCTATAATCTTAGCTACATAGCAGGCTGCAAAAACTCATACTATAATTCCTAAATTCAATAAGCAAAATTTGCATTCTGTTAATAACCCTTAGGCAGCCTCTTAAATTCATCATCAGTAATCCTCAGCCTTGCCAAACACACCCAATGATGTAATAATAGAATAGTACAAGGTGAATATGTAAGTAATCAAAAAATTTAAACTTCATCTTTTAGTAATCCTGTGACCTTGGTAAAAATCACTTAACATTTCCAAGGCTAAGTTTTCTCTGTCATAACTGGGAATATTCCTTTTGCTTAAGCAACACTGAGAAGATGAAATTAAATGAGATCCACAAAAATGCTTTATTAAGCATAATCTTAAAATCAAAAGAAATTGTTATTATAATTTCCTCTGTGGAAGGATCTCATAATATAGTCAGAGCAGATAACACTGTTTGTAAAAGAAACATTCTATTAATAAATGAGTCTTGACAGCATCAGTGGCTCATGCCCATATTCCCAGCTGCTCAAGGATGAGAGCTGAAGGGCTGAGGTTTGAGGTTAACATAGGCAGAAAAGTTTACATGATCCTATCTTGAAAAGAAAGGGCCAAAACAGGGATGCAGATATGATTCCAGTGGTAGAGCACCTGCCAAGCAAGCTTTAGGCCCTGAGTTCAAGCTCCAGTACTGACAAAAAAAGAAAAGAATTGGCCTTGTTTGGAATAAGAGATACAAATGAGAGAGGGCAGGTCAAATGGAGAGGGTAAAAGGGCATACTATCAAAATCCTTTATGTCCATGTGTAAAAATGGAACAATAGCACTTGTTGAGATTGGTTTGGGAAGGGAGGAGAGGAGAGTGATGGAGGGGGTGAGTCTGATCAAGATTCTTTGTATGCATATACAGACATGTCAAAATGAAACCCCCTCAGTACAATTAATTGATGCTAATTGAAAAATGTACAAAAAAAGAAACACTGTTGCACTATTTATAGAACTCAATGGAGCCTTGGTTAATATGAGAAGAGCAAGTCATATTTTGGAATACTTTTTCTCTCTCTCCCATGCTACACTGATCCCATGCAAAGCCCAAATAGTTTAAACTAAAAAAAAGAAAAAAGGACATGTTTAGTTCATGGACATAATGATGAAAAGCTCTGAGATTTGGAATCACACTGCCTGACTCCTCCTGCCTCCCAGGCCTGGCTTCTGGCTTGAGCAGAAGAAGAATCTGGCAGTATGGCCAGCACCAGAGTCTCCCACCTGGTCTCCAGCATGCCTTCGCGTCGCCCACCTACAAGGTCACAGAAACTGGGCCCTTGAGACTCTTCTGACCTAGAAAATCCTTTCACAGGTAGGGAAAACCAAGCTGAGAGCTACACAGGGTAAGACTGGAGAAAACCATGACCTCTGCATGTGGTGGCTAGGCTTGCCTGTCAACTTGTTTGGACTGAGGAAGTACCTAGGAGAATGGTAAACCACACATAAGACTGACTAGAAGAAGAAAACCTGCCATCCACGTGGGCTGTGCCCCACAGGCGGGAAAAAGGGAAAGCCTGAGAGCACAGGCCTCAATCCCTCTCTTTCTCTTTCTTTTTCCTTCCCTCTCTGTCCCTCTCCCTGTCCTTGTCCTTCTATCTCTATCTCTTCCCCTCCCTCCTCCCATGGTCCCCTCTTTCTCTCCCTCTCCCTCCTCCCACGGTCCTCTTTCTCTCTGTGTCTCTATTTCTGTTTCTGTCCTCTCTTCCCCCCACCCGGTCCCTCTCTGTATCTCTGTCTCTCTCCCTTCTCCCCCTCTCCTCTCCCTCTCTCTATAACTCTCCCTCTCTCCTTTCCCTCTCCTCCCTTCTCTTCTTCTCTTTCTTTTCTTCTCTGTTTTTCTCTTTCCCTTCCTCCCCTCCAATTCCTTCACCCTTTTTCTCTGTCTCTCCTCTCTGTCTGTCCCACTTCCTTTCCCTCCCTTTTTTCCCTCTCCCTCTGCCTTTCCTCTCCCTCTATCTGCCACTCCTTCCTGGCAACCATGATGTGAGCAGCTCTGCTGGGCCAACACCTTCCAGCCATGATGGGCTGAAGCCTCAGAAACTGTCACCCAAAATAAAGTTTTCTCCCTTAAGTTGTTTATATCAAGTGCTTTGTCACAGTGACCAAAAAAAAAAATCTGACTAGCACACCAAGAAGTATTTCTAAAATGTCTACCTCCATATCAAAACATTTTTTATCTTAAAATGACTATTACACCCTCATGGATCTACTTTAACTATTAAAGATATTTTTAAAGTTAACTATATAGGTTTTTGATTGGGATTCAAAATCTATGTTAACCAATATGGTGTTAATTCATATAAACAACAGAAAAAAATACACATTAACTTATTATTTTGTTGTTATTATTCTGGTACTAGTACTAAGGCTTGAACTTAGGGCCTGGGTGTTGTCCCTGGGTTTGTATGCTCAAGTCTAGTGCTCTACCACTTGAACCACACCTCTACTTCTGTCTTTTTTGTAGTTAAGTGGAGATGAATCTCTTAGACTTTCATGTTTGGGCTGGCTTTGAACCACAATCCTTAGATCTCAGCCTCAACAGCAGCTAGCATTATGGGCATGAACCACCAGCACCTAGCACCACATTAACTACTGAAAGATGAAACCTTCAAGAGTCTCAAAAATAAAGGAATTCAAAGGGAGGACAGATGACAACATTAGAATTAGTACCTGAGACTGCTGGACCTCTTTCTTCGTATCTTCAGATACCAAAGCAAAAGCTAGAAAGGGGGTGAAAAAAGGAACATTTTAATATTAACAATTTGGGTCCACTCTCACATTTAACAGTTTTGCTTATAATGAGAAAAAAAAATGAACAGAACACATTTGCTCCCTTTTAAGCAACTGCATTGCTACAAACTAGTATTACTGCTTTTCTTCATCTCTGACTTTCAGATTATTCCGCAATGCAATGTCACCACGCTTGGGCTCCCAATCAAAAATAATTCTATACCAAAGGGGGGGAGGGGGGGAAAAGTCTATGTATACCATTTGTGCTGCAGATATAATCCACAAAGCAAAGACAAATGCAAAGTATTTCACTGAATCCTTGATTTGAATTCCTGAGAATGAAAAAAAAAAAAAAAACAAGCAGAAATTCCCACCATCAGCATCACTACCAAAGCCTGGAGTACAACAGAGCTACATTTGGAGCAAGCTTGCTCTTAGGAACTATGGAGTCTAACACGTAATGCCTGAATAGAGAATTTACAGAACTCTACTAAAGTGTCTGGGCAGGAGAGCCAGCGGAATTAAAATCATTCCCCATTCCCAGTGATTTAAGGTTTTGAGTCCGAACCTCAAATAAGCATCTCCCTGGAGATACATTTAGCCTAGCCATTAAAAAATAATAACAGTAACAATATGAGAGTAACAACACTTGGAAAACATAAAGCCAAATGAAAAGCCAAACAGTCAGGAAGGTTAACAAACAAAACAATACTTTAAGCACATTTCTCCTAAAGAAATGCTTAGAGAGCATTTGCAAAGGGTTGGCCTCCTCCAATTAGCATGCCCAGGAGGAAAGGGCTAAGCCTTGGAGCAGTAACACACTGAGAGGCCTGGAGAGGAGATACTGGAGGGTAACCACAGACCACAAGGAGGACTCTAGCAGGGCTCCTGAGAGACAGAGGAGACCCTCTCAAAAGCAGAAACTTCACTTCCTTCTACCTCATCCTTCCCTAGCCCACCCACAGCCCCAGATATCCACTGCCTCAAGTTCTCCATTAACATCTGCTCAAAGGAAGTAATCTAAAACATATTCACACTGAAAAGCAAATGACTAACATGGTTTAATTGTTTCCATTTCCAAAATGACATTTCAAATGGCAGGACAAAATTGAAATGCAAGTCATAGGAAGTCTGGGTGGAATTTAGCTGGTAGATGAGCCATCCCAGAAACAGTCTCATCTAAATTAGCAAATTCCCAAGTCTAGAATGGCTTATCCCCCGCAAGATGCTTTCCTTCCCATCAGAGCATCTATTACCACCTGACATAATGTGGTTATTTGTCTATTATTTACATATTAATGAACTATAAGCTACACAAGACCAGGAATATAGCTTTACTGACTGCTGGCCCCAAGAACAAAGTATACAGAATGAGTTCACTAATACCGAAGATCACATATAGTCTCTCCTCTGCTGGTTTTGAAAGGTATCAGTGCATTGCTTATCATAAGCCAGCAGCTAATACTATTTGCCAATGTAACGATCTAAAGTAGGAATTACAAGCAAAGCCCACAAATCCTGCTTGTTGAAATCAAGACATACTGGGCTAGCATTAGCTTTTTTCACTCATGGCTGGTGCTCTACCACTTGAGCCTCCAGTTTCCCAAATGTGTTCTGAAGACAAAGAGTATGTTACATCATTCATAATCTTAAAATAACAAATCATTTTCAGGATTCCTACCAACTAACTCGAGGCTTCGTGAAATTAAAGGAGTATGAATAGATGAGGAAAGTGAAAAAAAGAGGAAGCAAGTAAGGTCACCTTCAACAATTCTAAGATTCATTCGGTAGTGCTTTGTTTGATCATAACTACCAAAGTGTATGTGTAACTCTTAATACCTTTGAATTCTTCTTAGTTTTGATTTTCATACAGTGGGAAGAGATATGTCATTGCTCTTTTTTAAAATTTCTTAAGCAAAGCAGTTTAAGGAGTATATTTATATAAATATATATGCATGTATGTACTTCCATGTGATTTTCATTCTAGATGTTCCTAACAAATTGATAGTTTCATGTCCACATGAACTGACCTATATTTGCATGCACATAGATAAAAGACTAATTTTTCTTGGACATTAAAAGAAAAGCAAGCACACAAGCTTGCTGTTGTGCATAGCTATGGATTATGTACAAATCAATAGCTATAGGCTAGTAAATGAGAGAGAAAGAGATGGCAAAGGTCGCAGAAAAGAAGACAACACTCTAGAACTCAAGGTTTACTGTTTGATTTCATGCTAATCTCCAGATTTAGCAGAGATTCTTGAAAACCTGGACTTTATACCTTTAATGTACAGTTGGAGAAACAATCCAAGGTAAATTACGATTTTATGTACCAAACTGCTGTTTAAAAGTAATTCTCTCTTCTTTTTTCCAACATGAATTCTGGCAACTTGAGACAGACAGTACTACTTAAAGTGCAAATCAGGGCAGGCAATAGAAATCAGACCTTTTCCTTGATAACTTTAAATAATTCAAGCCAGTGAATATGTTAGCATACCTAGATAGAAAGATAAATCAAGGTTTTACAACTAACCTGGGACTAGGATTTATTGACTAGCCTAAACCCCAGGGCACAAGAAAACTGGAGGAGTTAATTGCAGTGCATTTAAGTAACACTAATCAACTACCTTCTCTGGTTCCTGGGAGGTGGCAAAGAACCCCAGTCACCATGCAGGGAACGTAACTGTGCCTTGGGATTCAGGATTCAATTTTCATTTCTGTTCTCTTGATTTGTCCTCCCAAAGTCTTCCTATAACTCCTGTTACAGACACCAAGCAAAATCTAGAAGATCACCATCAAGATCCCCTACTTTGAGGGACACTGTGGGAAGGAATGAAATGGTGCCCAAACCTTGGGACCCTGGCATCACTGGCCATGCTAATCAATGACAATAATGATGATGTCTGTCAGTACCCAGCATAAAATTGGGGAAAGAAGAATCAAACCTGGCACAGTGGCTCTGCCACTCTGGCCAAAGTTCCCATGGCCATATTCTGGCGCTCAGATTCTCACCAGAATGCTTAGAAGACCTTTTGTTCTCACACTCTGTGGAAGAAAACCTTGGGGCCTCACTTTCTTTCCTATGACCTACTTACAAAACATGCTTCAGTTTCCCAGCACAGCTGTGGCCTCCAAAGGCTGCCCCTCCCTGGAGCTTTCCAGGTTTAATTCCAGGTTCACAGGATGGGGGCCTTAAGCTCCAGGATGCACAGCCCAAGGCCAATTTGTCTGCTTCTTATTACAGACTTTGATGGTAATCCACAGTGGCTGAGGGAAGGGAATCCAAGGCATGCCGCCCAACAATAGAAGATGGAGACACAGCTGCCTTTCCTTCATGCTCTGGAGACAAGTCCATGGATCCCTGAACCTGCACACTCGCTGAGTAGCAAACAACTCTATCCACCACCATGGGGAATTACTGCTAAGGCAAAGGATGGAAGGTCCTGTCATCACATGAGGGCCAACACAGAAGCAGCGTGGCAATCACCTAGCAGGTACCATGTTTAGACAGGGTGAGGTGGTGTATGCTAAGTGCTGTATGAATCAACAGTTATCGGTATCATTATACATCCTATTTTTATTTGTTCAACAGACAGGAGTCACTCTGTCTGCTGTGAACCATAGGTTAAAGTTATGTTGAATGCAAGGTGCTGGTGGCTCATACCTATAATCATAGCTACACAGGAGGCTGAAATCTGAAGATCCCAGTTCAAAGCTAGCCCAAGCAGGAAAGTCTATGAAACTCCAATTAAGCACCAAAACAAAAAGCCAGAAATAAAGCAGTGGCTCAAATGGTACATTGCTAGCTTGGAGCTAAAAGGCTCAGGCACAGTAACTAGACTCTGAGTTCAAGCCCCAGGGCTGGCACCAAAATAAAATACCTTTAAGCAGTTATATGAAGAGGTTTTAATTCAACAAGTCAGTTTATAAGTACTTATAAACCTTTCCATGGTTCTCCTCCATCTTTCCCACCGCCATCTATATCCTTATTACCAAGTTCCATTTTCACCTATGTACATTAAATGTAATGACTGTATTCACCTGTACTTTCCTCTCTCCATTCATCTGCCCTCTCTTCCTCGTAAGCTAACCCTGACAAAGTAGGTTTCAGCTTCCTGGTATTCATTTTGTTAAGAGTTATCATTGGAATCCTCCCCCGAATATCCCAGAGTTTAGTCTACTTGTTTGTATATATGTGCATACAACCCAGTAGATACTTTCATATATGTTTATGACTTAGATCTAACTTCCAACGATGACAGAAAATGTGCTGTTTGTCTCTCTGAGCTTGAGTTACTTCACTTAGCATATATTTTTCTGGGTCTATCCATTTCCCTGCAAATGACATAATATCAGTCTTCCTGATAGTAAAATTCCAAGAAGGGAGTGAATGCCACTACAGACTGATTTCTGGAGAAGCTAAGGAGCATTTAGAAAGAGGGAGACAGAGACAAAGCAGGACATAAACATGGACATAAACACGGCAGCTAGGAGGATGCGGGCAGGAGGCAAAGGTAGGTCTGGGCCCGAGCTAAGGTGTAATAGTGGCTGGAGCAGTAGGCCTGGAGGATGAGGGAACAGCCTTCCTGGCAGAGAGTATATGTGTGTAGGAGGGAAGGGACTAGAGGGGCAGGGAGGGAGAAATCTGGAGGTGATTCCAGCTTTTACAGAGTTTGCTTGGCTGGGCAGCCATGGATAGGCTACAGAGTAAGGGCCATAAGCAGACGAGGAGGAAGCTCAGGACATTCACATGGAAACCTCCCATAACAGCTATCCTCCAGGGATGGAGGACCAGAGTGAACAACGGACTGTACAGTAAGAGGCCCCAACACCAAGTCCTGTGGCTCACATCTGTAATCCTAGCTACTCAGGAGGCTCAGATCTAAGGAGCATGGCTTGGCTAGCCTGAGCAGAAAAGTCACTGAGACTCTTTACAATTAATCGAGAAAAAGGTTGAAGTGATCAGAATGCCAGCCTTGAACCTTTATAC